CGAACCTACTCCTCATACAACTACGTCTCAAGACTACATTGGCGAATGTACACCTTTGCAAAGGTCTCCAAAGTCGGACGACTCTGTCATCTTGGAGGATAGAAGAGATGACTTACCTACTCTCAATTCTACATCTGCGAACCCTCAACGTTCGAGAACATTGAAGAATCCAGCTCCTACACCTAGCTGCTCTAGGTCGAGATCTCATATCTCTCACAGACGTTCGCGAAGTCACTTACCATAAGACAGAGGTTCGCAAAGAGAAGGCTCACAGCACAGGAGTTCGCCCTACGATAGACGTTCGCGAAGAGATAGCTCACCTCACAGAGGTTCGCGAAGAAAGCACTCCCAAGATAGACGTTCGCATAGAGAGGAATCTTCAGACAGAGGTTCGCGAAAGGATGATGAAGGTTCGAGAAGGGATACATGTTTGCAGATGGATGAGTCGTTGAGACCTAGCACTAATAATCAGGAGACTTTGGACTTGCAAACAGACTTCGTCTTCCCAGACTCAGAGGTTACAGCGTGGATTGACAACGGGTTGAACTTGGAGTCTCTTTCTAAGGATAAAGATGAAGTCTACACTTATATGATACGCAACGACGACTTAAACTTGGTGACTATTCCTCCGATTGAACCTATATCCAAGGTACCTTCTAACCTACGCACAGCTTTGAGAAAGCTACAGACATCTACAAGGTTCGAGAACTCTCAGATCTACAGGCAGATTACAGCAACGCAGACATCTACAGGGTTCGCAAACCCTTACATCAACAGGCAGGATGTTGACGTCGACTCTATTACCATATGGCTGATTAAAACGAAGCAATGATGAAAACGGATGGTTTTGTCAGAGTTTAAAACAAAAAGATCTACATGTGTGATCTCTACAGTTACAGCCTGCACAACTCTACAACCTGCACAAACCTTATACCTGTATAAGTTCAGTTTCGGACAACAACCTACTTGATGATAGGAATCACTTCATCTACACAGATGCTGAGGTCTTATACCGGGTAGCAGATGGCCTCGCGGATATTGTCGTTCACTCACTCACTCCAACCCAACAGAGACGTACTGCATATACGCTGATGACTTTGACTCCAATATGATATCACCTATGAAGCCGATATCTCAAGTACTGGAGAACCTCAAGGCGACCTTTGTAAAGGGCCTAAGGTTAACAACACCTTCAAGTATCCTTGAACGGACGTACAGATGATATTATTAACACTCGTCACTCAGCGTGGTGATTAGGAATATATATCCTATCAGCTAGATTCAACATCAGTATTTCTTCAAGATCCAAACAGACATACGTCTCGACAGCCTCCTTCGTCATGCTGGGAATAAGTGATTTATATCACTGAACAAGAATTTACACTTGGAGCAACCCTTAGTCAAGAGGTTTATATGAGCGGCGTAGAATTACGCGCGCTTTTACTCAACCAACTAATTGCATCAGATTTTATGGAGGCCAACTTGCTACAACACTGGTGACGTCATGCTTGAAGCTGATTGGTCCACGTCAGACAACACCTCCCACTGACAGAGGAGGCTCCAGCATGTTTTCTGATTTGTAAACAAACCCGTGGTACGAGGGAATACTTCATCGGCAGCCTTGGAAACAGTATTCAACTACGGCCTCTTATCATCATGGGAATCTAATAGATGTCTAACCTTGACAGCAGGATAAACGATGTTTATTTTGGAAGTTGTCGCTGATAAAAGTCGGTATGAGTACCTGTCTCCTGCGATGCTACACTGGCGCCAGCCTTGCTATAAATAGACAACGCTTCGATGTATGCTGATCAACACAGATCGCCTGCGTATATAAGGGGAAGAATGATGTATCATCACTACAATCAGAGGTTAGCACTTCCAATGGAACGTCCTACCATTTGGAATATCGTCGGCTCTATGATTATTCATATGAATAACCAAGCCTATCAGCACCTATCTGCAGCATCGAGGTCTACGCAGTGCCGGTTATCTGGACGACGGCATACAGGTTCTTCAAAGTGTCAATCAACTCAGACAGCAGCTGAACTTCACAATTAAGTTGCTCACGCAACTAGGATGGCTAGTGAACCTGATGAAGTTGGCGTTAGAATCAAACAAGATCTTCAATTGCTGGGAATAAGAATTATCACAACACAGAATCGAATTGTGGTCCCAGAAGATCATTGGGTCAAGATACAAGCCATGATTCAACAAGCAGTCATCTCTCCGTTAACACTACAAACATGGCAATGTCTACTCGGTCTACTAACCTCGGCGCAGGACTTGACTTGCACAGAAAGAATTACAACTAAGGCCGCTGCAACGGTTCCTGACAAAACATCTGGACAGCGTTGACCCTATCTTGCTGCCAGACAATCTTAAGAGGTACCTATACCTTAGTGGACCCACAAGTTGAACGTCTGCGGAGGGACCTTTTTACAAGAGCCGGCCTTCGACACACATCTCTACGTAGACGCTCTACGTAGACGCAAGACGTAAATACAAGGTTGGGGTGCACTTATCAACAGAGACTTCAGCAGAAGTCTCAAGAACGACCATATCGCTCTGGATGAGAGCCGTTACATTGAGAGCCTATAAAGCAGCAGGACTAGAACCTCCTAGAGCTTCCAACCCACAAGAAGTCAGAGCACTTGCGTCAACACTGGCTCTGCGAGGAAATTGCTCTATACCAACAAATATTGAGGGCTGCTTTTGGAAGTCGGACACGGTATTTGCCAACCACTACCTCCGAGATATAGCCACTGAAGACGTCTCATGCATTCACCAATTTGGGCCTCTCGTAGCACAGCAACTAACGGTTCCTCAAAGGCGCTGAGTTGGAAAATCTCACCCTTTATCACGTTGACTTGTTGATAACTTTTACTAAAGGAAAGTACTAGTTTGAAAGTCCATGCGCACAGTCTGGCACAGGCTAGCATGAGTGATTAAAGATCCTGTACGGGTAAAGATCTTACCTGTATGTGAAGGGGTCGCAACTCATTTGTGATAAAGATCATAATCTATGGGTTGTTATGAGATATCTAGTAATAGGAAGATACTAGTTTATCTGTAGCCACATGATTCAACTTGTCTGAGAATGAAGTAAGACAAGAAAGTGGTCCCCCCAAGTTATAACGGAAGTTGGAAGAATAGGATCACGGAAATGCCGTTTCGCAGTTGCCATGGGGGGGGATACAGGACGTATCTAAGGACAGCTGTTGAATCCACAAAGTGGCTTGACCCACCACCAATCTGTCGGATTCTATAAGCAAAAGATCATGAGTCAGGATAAGTAAAAATATGTAAGTTTTAAAGTAAAACTGATAATTTTATACTTATCCTGACTCATGACGAACAAGCCCTCCCAGCCTCCCCGTTGAAGACACTTGAGATTTCACAGCAGATCCAAGTGCATGGGTAGAAATTCAGGAGAGAGTGACAAGTAAGGCAGGTCACCTGACTGTTTTTCGTCGGAAAGGGCAAAAGGTAGGTAACTCGTGGGTGAGTGTATTCATACGTCCGCTTTGGGAACTTCAAGGGATTCAAGTGTTCCACTACCATTCGAAGGGAAAGGGAGATAAGCAAAAGATCATGAGTCAGGATAAGTATAAAAATATCAATTTTACTTAAAAAATTACATTTTAGTTTTTAAATATTTGGACGATGGCTGTCCTGAATTAGTCCCTATAACATTACCACCACGCTGCTTCGGCAGTTAGGGTGGCTACTGTACATTGCAGAATTGAAACTGAGACTTCAATTCATCGATGCATTGTTTGACACCTGTCAGGGGATGATGTTCGTCCCTCAAGACCTTCAGTGGTGGCCAGATGAGCAGAATGTTTGCACAGGAGTCTCTATGCTGTCCTTCGCATCGACTCATCATGTGTTAGTCAACGCATCCCTCACGGGTTGGGAGTACACTTCTCAACCACCAAGTGGCCGGACTGTGGTCATTCGGCAAACTGGTTGTTCACATAAACAAGCTGGAATTCAAGGCAGTAATTCAAGCCATCTCACTTTGGGCAACAGAGCTTCGATTAACCAATTTGCTGATCCAGTCAGACAACTTGACCGTGGTTTGGAACATAAACCATCTAGGCTTGACTGGCTTGGCGAATCTGCCACAGTGGGCGATCAGATTTTTCCGTCTCATCGACTCACTCAACATCGTAACCGGAGTAAAATGTGATCACCGATGCCTTGTCCTGATCCAATCGGCCGTCCTCAACAGAGTGGAAGCTGCTCCCCAGATCTTCCAGTTGATGATCTGCCCTTTATCAAGGCCCCAAGTAGATTATATTTTTTGGGTTAAAACATGTCCAAAATTTAAGTTATGACTAAACTACAATCCCCAAAATAACAAGATCAACATAGTACAAAGGTAATAGAATATTGTTACATGACTTGAAAAGAACTGAACTGTGCCAAGACCTGGGGATGCTAATTGATAGGTAAGATGCAAACTCTGTAGAGATCAGAGTGTCATTGGAATCTGATATAATGTAATTTAGATCAATAATATATGTCTTGTATCATAATGAACCAAGGTAAAAGACTTGTGCTTATTAAAGAGTTCTAACAAATAAACGGAGTGAATGAAATGGAAGGTCATATGAAAAACACATACAGAGATACAGATACAGCGAACAATTTTGAACATGATAGTCATAAGAACATGAAAGCTTGTTCAACTTGGATCACCATAATGTTGATGTTGACATATAAGGTAATGATAACAAACTGTAAGAACATTAGGTGAACCTAGTCCCACTTAAGGTTTGTATAAACTCCACTTACTTACCTAAGTACTAATTAAGTGTCTCTCTTTGTCATCATTTTAACTGTCAACTACATATCCAGGTGAGCTACAGCTGATAGTTTTGGCACTGTTTTTAAATCATACTGAGTATCTCCTCTTAGACAAAAATATTGCAATTATGTAATTACCTCAACTCAATTTCGCAAATGAAACTCTATCAATTTTCTGTGTTCAGGCAGTCATCATGCGTAGTAGTCAGCCTCTCACAGGGCAGAATGGGCGGAGATGTAAAGAAGATGAAAAACTTCTAAATGCTGTTCTTGGAATTGGACGGAGAGGATATATTGTTGACACAAGGGCTCAGAGTGTTGCAAAGATGGCTCAAGCTAAAGGTATGAGTTTTCCCCACATCTACACATTGACCATTATGCACAGACAACAGCACCTTACAAGGCCATGCAAGTTTACTTTCATATTGAGAAACTTTGGTATATGAGGGAGGTTAGAATGATATTTCAATTATTTGTAACACATGGTTCAAATGATTGTTTACCTCATAAGTCTTTCCATTTTTGACACATAATTAAATTGCTGTTCACTGCATTACGTGGTGTATGTTTTGAAATATATATAATAGATATTTTGCCTTATCCTGACTCATGCTAAAGGCTTGTCTCCTTCTTCTTGCCAATGATAGTGGAACACTTGAAATCCCTTGAAGTTCCCTTCTAAAAAGCGGACGTAAAATCATCACTCACCCACGAGTAGTCTCCCTTGCCTCCTTTGGTGCCCTTTTTGGTCACATGACCAGCTGTGTTTGTCACTCTCTCCTTCTTTGCCCTTGAGGACGGTTGTGAGAGCACCTGGGTCCCTATACGGCACATATCCTTTTCTCTTTTGGACCTTTTACATCTAAATGGCAGCTGTATATGGTTTTTGGATTGTATATTATCAAATGTTTTGATATTATGTCTAAATTATACGTTGTTTGCCATGTTTTTTATGTGGTTTACAATTGATGAAAACTTGTATTCGTTGTAGGTACCGGCTGTCTGTGGCTGACCCGCATATATTATGTCCTGATTGCACGACTACATGTTCTTCCAGCTCCTGCTGTAAACATTGTCAGAAACTAACTACTTTTGAATTTAATAACTACCTTTTTTCTCTTCATGGACGTGCAAAGGACTGGGTAAGAAGGTATTCACAAGTCAGGTCTGGTAAATCGAGTGATTGCGCTGATAACCGTGTGTTAACTACTGTTGCCGGTGTTCATAATTCCAGTGAATTGCCGAGCGTTTTACGAGGGCAGGTCGCTGTTCCAGTGATGAACTCCGTCTTGAATAAGTAGAGATCGTCGTCAACGGAGCTGTCCTCATCGCAGACGAAGAAGACGAGATCTTCTTCAGCGCAGAAGAAGAAGTCTACAGTCTCGAAGTCTCTTCACAGCTCTACGCAGAAGACGAGATCCTTCACTGTCGATATTGTACCTCCGGAAGAAGCAGACGTATATGATGATCCCCCCATCATCATACCTGAAGTCACAGTCGTCAGCAAGAAGACGAAGCCTGCTTCAACAGCTACATCGGCAGCTATATCAGCGCAGACATTGACAGAAGACCTTCTATCAACGCAGACATCGGGTACCAGAGATAGCAGCAGCGTCAACTCTTCACAAGTGCAGCGTACCTTAGAAGAGGCCTCAACGTTCTCAGAAGCATCATCAACCCTGCAGCAGTCTCAACATACGTCGCAGAACTTCAACCCGGGGCTGTTTATGCAACAGTTTACAGATCAGATGATGTTGATAATGGAATGTCGCTTCGCGCAGGAGGAAGCTGCTACGAAGACCACTATGACGACTACAGGCCTGCGGGAAGGTTCAGCGGCCTCTCCAACGCACCTGGATGAAGAGGAAAGCCTTCGCGAAGGCCCACGCACCTGACGATCTTCAACCTCTGAAGCTAGAAGTCTGGACAACGGTACCAACGTCAGCTCAGCCTTAGACGTCCCCAAAGGAGGCTCTAAGATCCTCCACACAGAAGCAGATTGAAGCATTCTCCAGAACCCTACAGATGCCGCAAATATGGATCGTCATCACCGTCGGACTTAGACACATCCGGGAACCTGCGCGCAGGTACTCCACATCTCACAGAGGGGAGATTACGTCAATCAGCCTTCGTGAAGGCCTAGAGAGATATCTCAAGACTCATAATTAATACATGGTCACACCGGGACCGTTCACCTCTACATACAGAGACTTGCTTCATTATGGATCTTCAGATAGGGAAATGTCCAACTTCACCGTCTAAAGTTAGAAGTCTGGAGAACTCGACTAACGTCAGCTCAACATAGCAGACCCCTCCGATGACAGTCGCCCTGCGCTAAGGATTATTAGCTATGCAAGCTCTCCCCGATGAAGGCCTGGACGAACGGTTACGTTCGCGAAGATCTTTGCCGTCAGAAGTATCAGCAGTTAGAAGCCTGGAGGATTCAACGAACGCCAGCTTAGCGTTAGCAGTCCCGATGGAGCCTCCACGCAGTTTCAGCGTCTCAGCAGGAAGGATTCTAACACAGAAGTAGATCCAGTCGTTCTCCAGGATTCTACAGACTGCGCAGATACAGATCTTCCAAGATTACAAGATCATCAGTAAATCCCATAATAGATCTTCAAGATGGAAGATAAGAAGATAACGCAACTGGACACTACAACTAGATGTTGGCTATGTTGGATCAACACACGTGTCTGAAGGAAGAGATGCACACCTGAACTAACGATGTCAGATAACATCCGATGAAACACTGAAGATGAATTTTCATCACATTGGCTTACAAGATATCAAGGGGACAGTTAACAGCATTGTCGCAGTTTTTCAGCGAGACATCGGTTACGGTCAACTTTACAGAACATCTGTATAAGATGACGACTGCAGTCAAGATTATAAAGTTGAAGAATACAGTCACAACAGACAGGGAACAGTCTGCTTACATCGCTGCACATTGTTCGGATTCTGGTGACAACATCTTCATTACATATTACCGGAAGATTGATGAGACAAGCTTCAAGCCATGATTCCAGAATCGATCATCTCTTCGCTTCCATGACGGACATGGCAAGGGTTCCTAGATCCACTTACCTACAACATAGGACATGATTGCAGTAGATGGCTAGTAATCTCCTAATCAGAGTTGGAACCAAAACAGGATCTTCAATTTCTGGGAATATGGCTCATCACACCACAGAATCACACGGTCGTCCCAGAGGATCTTTGGGTCAAGATACAACATATGATATCTCAAGCATTGCTCTCTCCGTTGACACTGCGTGCTTGGCAAAGCATGCTCGGCCTACTCACCTCAGCTCAAGACATGACTTGCAGAGGGAGATTACAGTTGTGCCCTCTACAAATATTTGTGAACGCCCATCTCGACAGTCTGGATCCACTGATACTACCGGACAGCCTGAAACCATACCTCCTATGGTGGACTCAGAAGTTGAATGTTTGCGGAGGAACCTTTTTGTCAGAGCCGGTTTGCAACACTCATCTCTACGTGGATGCATCACTACAAGGATGGGGTGCTCACCTCAACAACGAAATGGCAGCAGGGAAGTGGTCGAGTCAGGATCAGAGTCTGCACATCAACCCGTTGGAGATGAAAGTAGTGATCAACGCTTTACAACACTGGTCCCGGCGTACTAAGGAACGCATGGTAGTGTTCACAGTAGCATTCTACATCAACAAACAAGGATCAACAAGTCTGCTAAAACTCAGCTTCTTCTGTTCAGCATCGTCAATGACCTGAACATCTACATGAAGGCATGCCACATTCCAGGAGCAAAGAATGTCATAGCAGACGCCCTATCTTGTCCACTACAACCATCCCCGACGGAATGGATATTACATCCAGAAGTGTTCCGGTTCGTCATTCAGACAATAGGATCTCCACTGATAGACCTGTTTGCAACAAAGTTCAACAAACAACTACCAACATTCGTCTCACCGATTCCGGATCCTCAGACATGGGCAACAGATGCTTTAAGCATCTCATGGGAAGGACTAAACGCTTACACGTTTCCACCTCCAGCACTATTACCACAAGTAATACAGAAAATCAACAGACGACAATGTTGCAACTGATTTTGGTCGTGTCCTACTGGCAAGCGAGGGTAGAACTCGGAAGTCCAACCCTGAAACTACCAGAGTGGTCAAACCTGCTCGTCCATCCGACACCAAGCAAGCTCACGGGAATCCGGCTTTGTTCCAGTTAGACTCGTGGAGCATATCAAAGCTTGCCTGAAGACAAGAGGGTACACCGCCAGAGCAGCGAAAGCAGTAACACTACTTCTACGCAGATCAACTCGCAACTTGTACGATGACAAGTGGCAGAGATTTGAACAGTATGCAACGAGGAACGGCTTTTCGGCGGTGAAAGCAACCCATCCTCAAGTGGCAGAATACTTGTGTCAATTGCGACAGACGAGACACTTAAAAGGTTCAACACTCTCAACACACCTGGCTCCTCTCAGCACAGTTATCACCATGAAGACGGATGTCAAGTTGACCAAAGTACCAGAGATACTGGCACTACTACGCTCGTTCAAGTTGAAAGACCAACAAAAGAAATTTAAGGCTCCTGCCTGGGATCTCAACGTAGTTCTACAACATCTCACCAGTGATGCCTACGAGCCTCTAGAAAGGACATCCTTTGAACCACTGAGATGCCCTCGGAAGTCTCACAGACAACTATATCAGTTTGGATGACAGCCGTCATACTAAGGGCCTACAAAGCAGCAGGACTTGAGCCTCCATGAGCCTCCAATCCCCACAAAGTCAGAGCCTTGGCGTCCACACTTGCTCTGCATGGAAACTGCTCGATTACAACATTAATGGAGGGCTGCTTTTGGAAATCGGACACGGTGTTTGCCAACCACTACCTCAGAGACATTGCCACCAAAGACGTCTCAGGCATTCACCAGTTTGGGCCACTTGTTGTAGCACAACAACTAACGGTTCCACAAAGGCGCTGAGAAAAATCTCACCCTTTTATCACGTGACTGGTGAAAACCAACACTCTGGAGAGCAATGGCTATAAGTCCATGCACACGTCTAGGACAGACTAGCATGAGTGATAGACCCTGTACTTGTATAGGACTTACTCGTACATGAAGAAGGGTCGCATCTCCACTTGATGCACGCATCAAGAGATGGAGTTGCAATAGATAACTAATGGAACATTAGTAATTTTTCCTTATCCTGACTTATGTTTATTGCTTGTCTCCCTTTCCTTCCGAATGCTAGTGGAACACTTGAATCCCCTTTTGAAGCTCCCTTCAAAAAAGCGGACGTAAAATCACTTACCAGGAGTCACCTCCCTTGCTAGGTTTTGGCGG